GGCTGACCACTTGTATACTGCTGCAAGAAGTAGAGGCGATCTCGATCATTATCTGAACGATCTTCTACGGCGTGCTGAAAGGCTCTAATAAACAGCTTATATTCAAGTGGGTCACCATTAAACGTGGGTATGTTTATATCTGGTAACAAGGACGCCTTGTGGTTCTTCACCAAATACAGTGGTAACTCAGAACTTGAATTTAATCCGTTCAGAACTCCGGATCGAATCCTAAAAAGTTCAAGTTTTGATAGAATTTTCCCCATAAGAAATAATGGAAAACTATTTAATTGGTTCCTGGCCCCCAAAAAATATATCTAAAAATGTTTTTTTTAGCATTTAAACACAAAATAAACCGGATAAAACAAGAAGAGCATATACTGTACTAAGCACATCTAAGCACATTTATCAAAACAGTAATTTGTAAAGTAAAAAAATAAATGTATCCAAACAATGTGTAAAGTTAAAACAGCGACGTGCTTCTTCCATGTGCCACGCCCCCTCGTTAACCCCGTGTGGAATCCCCATGTGATCAGCTGTTTCTGGTTGTTGTCATTAGTCCTCTGTATTTCGTCCGCATTTCAGTTTGTTTCCCCAGCCCGATCATTGTATTGTCTGTCTGCGTTTTGCCTCTTACCTGTAATTAAACCCCGTATTCCCCGATACCCTGACGTCTGCGCCTTTGTCTCCTTTCCGTCCCCGCTCGGCACGACAATATTATTATAATTAAATGTATTAATGGTTCATTAATACATTAATACAATTGTATTAATACGTTAATACAATGGTTCAAATTACCCTATCGTCCCTCACCAGATGGCGGCGTGAGAAGACGTATGCGCGGCGGCCTCTCCATGTGACCCGAATTCGGTGCTTTTAAATGTTACTTTTCGTCAGCGTTATACTGATGTTTTGTTTTGTAAGCGCTCCAGTAACATGCACTTCCACGTGTATGATCGGAAAACTCTGCTCACTTACCGGAAAAAAAAAAAATCACCACTGGAGAAGACGGTCCGGGAGACCCTCTTGGACCCTGCGGGAGCTTCACCTGCTACACGAAGCGGGCTGCGGGTCCTCGGAGTAGCGTGGCGTCGCCGGCTGGCGGAAGTGCACCCGAAAACGGTGCGACTGAACCCGGAAGCACGGCAAGCGTGGAGGTCTCCGTGCCAAGCTGAGAGTGTGGTGGTTCCATAAATAAATAAATGTGGGAAATTAAGAAAAAAATGTTAGTAAATTATATCAGGGAAACATTGAACTTGGGACAAGTGAAATGTGTGTTTTTTTTTAAAAAAAAAGTATAGTATAGTGTTTTATCTGTGACGACTAATATTCCCTGCTCAGCCTGGAGTGATACACTGATTACTCGATTGGTTTCCTCTTGGGAGGTGGTCACCTGTTTGGGGAGGGGAGGGGCGCTGCTCAGAAATACAGAGACTCTGATCGTGAAGCAGCAGCTCCGTGTCTTGCGTTTTCTTAACTATTTACATCTCCCCTCATCAGGTGGTGAGGGTACTACAAGAGCTAATCCGAAGCGACCCGCTCTCTCTTCCATTCTGCTCGCAAACATACGGTCGCTGGACAGCAAAGTACATTACACGGAAGGATGTGAAATACTGCTGCGTGCTTATTTTCACGGAAACGTGGCTACACGACGGCATTATGGACTCGGCAGTACAGCTAGTCAGCCGCTCATTGTTCCGTATGGACAGAGTCAGCAAGAAGTGCGGTAAGAAACGAGGCGGTGGAGTAGGCATTTACATTAACAACAACTGGTGTACAAATGCTGTGGTAGTGCATGGACACTGCTCTGCTTCAGTGGAGCTTATAGCAGTGAATTGTCGTCCTTTTTATCTGCCACAGGAGTTCAATTCCGTTGTTTTGCTGGCTGTTTATCTAACACCTAGCGCAAATGCTAACCAGGCGCTAGCGGAGCTGTACGACTCCGTGAACAACCTGCAAACTGCCCACCCTGAAGGGTTTTTCATAATCGCAGGCGACTTCAACCAGGCCAATTTTAAAACAGTGCTGCCTAGATTTCACCAGCACAAAAAGTTTGCAACCAGGGGAAAATCTGCTTGGACCACGTGTATGTAACCCCTAATTCTATTGAACCAAAAATATATATATAAAACAGGGGTAGGGTACCAGGTCCTTCAATCTCGTTATATAGTCTGAGTCCAATCACTGGGGTTTTGAAAGAAATGTGATGTGGACACGATATGCCTTACTTCAAAGCCATTTTATATAACATTTCAACTAGCCAGTCAATTTAACATAAAATCCCAGTATATAAACCAATAACAAAAGTGTATATTATTTCAGTAGAGTCCAAAGAAAAAAATGTATTCGATAAATCAAAAATATACATATATATTTATAATCTTCTCTGGGCATCCAAGTATGGGGAAAAAAAAAATAAATCTGGCCAGCTCCTCACTGTCCCGTCCGAGAAAGA